GGGGGGCCGAAACGCGTCGTTTGATACCCCTCCCGACTTTTCCGCACCTTTTTTAGGGGTTGTTACCGCACCCTAGAGAATTACCAAATTTTCAACTTAACAACAAATTTCTGGAAACTATGAGCTTCCTCGCCGTCTCGTTTTCAGTTTTGTGATGTGTACGACCCCCTCTACCTTCAATGAAGTCATTTTCCCCTTAAATAAATCGATAACTCGATGAATAATGAAAATTTTTATTAAAATCAATACTTCGCCTGCCTCGCATTCCTTTTATAAAACAGTATTTTAATATAAGGTGAATACAAAAACCCCCCTCTTTTTTTTACTATTCCCATCGTCTGGCAGCACCAATCTCTGTGTTCATTTCCACCACTTCCATGTAATGGGCTGTTTTTGCTTACGCCTAAAAGCACATTTAGCTCTAAGGGCCGTTTGCACCATGTCTAGTTAACGCTAACTGGAGGTACATCCTTCAGTTAAGCACATTAACTGCTTTATCGATCACATTTTATATGATGGGTGTCGATAACGTCGATAAAGATGTTTAACTGGGAGTTAGAATTAAGTAGACATGGTGCAAACGGCCCTTAATATACATTTATCCATACAAAATTCGTCACCTAAATGCAACTAAATGCAACTCCATTTTTGCATTAGGAATCTAAATGCTAAAATCAACCCTGTGATCTTCCAAAATTTCCACGATTCGAACATGGTTTAAAGAGAAAAAGTGGCAACATTGCTTTTTCGAATATACAGTTGCTAGCTGCGTTTCAGTGATCGCCGATAGAGATTTTTTTTATTTTACATTACATATTTGGATAAAGAAAAATTACGCAAATTCAACATCGATGTGATGCTGATAGAAATCTGGATCAATTTGTGATCAACTCTGTTTGCTTTGTTTCCTAATTAAGTGAGGCAATTTTAATTGACAGCACACAAACAAATGTTCGGTTATGGTTAAAACAATTCAAGTTTTTGTATTGAATTTTTGGTTTAAAATTTATTTTTTCCTTTTCAGTAGGGATTTGCACATCATCTTCTGCGTGAGAATTGATCGTAATATATACGGATCTAAATAAGAGATTGGAACACGGCTGTTTGTCAAAAGCATACGATTTCGAACTGGCGTAAATGTACATTTGCTAAGACTGCTTTTACAAAGTTCAAGTATTGAATTCAATTCTGCTCGCATGTGGAAGAGAGGGGGTGAGAAGAAAAGGGACGAGTACACATGCGTCTGTACTGTCAAGTCGTTTCAACTTTCGTGCTTTGCTTTTGGCATTTTCGTTGCTTCCCATTTAAAGAACCAAAGACTTGAATTCAACAGAATTGAAACGTGTAAAAGCAAATAAAAAACACAAAAGGGAATGAGCAAGAATTGCTTTCAAGTACTTGAATCATGTAAATCAGGTGTAAATGCTATAGCATGAACGCTCTTCGAAAACATATGTTCGAAAGTGCTAAATGTTGCATTTTAAATGCAGCAAATACGCTGCATAATCAATGAACTTTGTATAGTGAAGTGTGCAACTTTAAAAGTTAATAACCTTTTA